TTGTAATAAAAAAGGAATTATGAAAAGAAAAACAAAGAAGAATGACAAATTGAAAATCTATAAGATGAAAATCACGAGAAAATTTGATGTAAAAAGCAAAGACGAAGGCGAAGAAGAAAAGGTAGAAGAACGACGTCGCCGCCACTGTGTGATTTGTGGAAAACAAATAATTGTCAGAGCTGCCAATCACAGCGTTCTTTGGCCGACGTCCGTCGCAGGGTTAGCTCTTGATGAAAATCCACCGATTTATTGGCCAACCTTCGTCTTTAGGCTCACCTTCGAACGTCACCACGTTCCACCATTCCGGAATTTCTCGTATGTTTTTTGGATTCCCAACTGAGTTTAAATTTAGATTGGAACCTTCATTCTTTTAAATGAAATTTAGCGGCAAACGCACGTTAAAATGGATTACGATGAAACGTTATTTCAACTATTCTATTTAATAAAATCATTTATCGTTAAAATACACTTATTTTGATCCTATCGACAATTTAGCCAGAATATTGTTTGAAAAATTTAAAAAAAAAATCTTTGTCACACACACACACACACACATATACAAAACACGTCTGTCAACGCGCTCTTATCATTTTGTTGTTATATTTATTGCTTTGCCACGAATTTGTTGCAACATTGCCATTAGTTGCTGTCACTCTTAAAAGGTCGCACGTGCGTAAAAAAATGTTTGAATGGAGTGGAAAAGTGGATGACGGGGAAAAGAGATTGGAGGGTTACGAATGGGCTCGTTACGGTATAGAATTATGACGTCGGTTATGAGAGACGTAATAATTGCGGGAAAACGCCGACCTGGCCACCGACAGAAATATTATTTATAGCTTCGAGGGGGATGAGCGCAAATCGTGATACTTGCGATAGTAAAATATAGCCGACTGGTTTTGCTCGCCGAGTATACGCTGTGACGATGTTTTGTTGCTTTCTGATGAAAAATATATTTATTGATCTTAAATCGATTCCAAATAAAGGATAAGAAGCGATTTGATAATATTACTTCTCGCGATATGATCGGAATAGTAATATGTCACGGAATACATATACATATATATATTGCAAATTGTCATCATTAACGACTTTTATATATAGGATGCTCGGAGTTATCAGATTTGTCAGTTGGATTTGTCAGTTTATTTTATTACTGTTGTTTTCGACTTATAATTTATCAGATTTTAATAATAGTTTTATTTTAACGATCGCGTTTACATTTTCACTACACGTACATATGTAAGTATTTATGACAAGCAGACATGTGTCATCTAATTCAGTTTATACGTCGCATATATATTATTTATATTTAATTTGTATGGTCACAGTACAATCCGCTCGGGTGAGAGAAGGGACTCGGCGCCTTTTGTAGTAACACGGTAAGCCTATTAGCTTACTCGTTCGTCTGTACATCCGTGGCGCGTGTGACAGCTTGCCGCGCCGAATGAATTTTAATGAAATCCAGTGTGTTAGAGGGAGCGAGCCGGCTCCTGGCCGCCACCCCCGGCTGAATTTATCCGACAAATTCTCCCTCCGCGTTGTCTAATCTGAATACATGCATATCCGAGAGCCGCGTATAAAGTGGAGACGCGACGACGTGGACGACTGGCATCGGCGTTTTTCGACGGCCACATCGTCCCGCTCGAGATTGAACGCGCTCGATTAAACAGAGCGGAATCTAAAACATAAAATGTTATATAGAGAGATTGAACGTTTATGTATATATACCTTTTTGTGATATCTATCTTTTTGGATACCTTTAGAAATTTTTGTGAATTTAAATTCATGAGAAAATTATAATTTAATCGGATAAAAATTAAATTAAGTTATCTTATAAATAAATAAAAAAAAAAAAAAAGGATAGCAGAAATCATACAAGATCGATCTAACATGTTCAACAGTAGCCTATTCACGTCTATTACGACAATTAGAAACCTTACTTATAGAAAACGGACAGATATCCGATATTGTAACATTAATGCAACTGGACTTTAATACGCGAATGACCCAAATTCGTTTGTCAATAATATTATTCATTAGATATTTTTATCCGATTAAAGATTGCGAGAAAATTGTTCAAGACCTAAAAATTATTCTTCACAAAAATTAAAAAAAAAAAAATGATTTAAAATTAAAGATTTAATTTATTTGTAATGATTTTGGAAGAGTTTTCCGAGTAAAATCATTTTTCTTATTATAAATTTATTAATTTCGTGCAAATTATATTTGTGTTATGTGTAACTAATAATTGATTGTCTCTCTCTCTCTCTCTCTCTCTTTCTCTGAAAAAATATGTTCAAATATGTTATTAATATTTAAAAATATAATTTAGAGAGGAACAAGAAAAAAATTATAAAAGTTGAGTGAAAACAAAAGCTGACTTGGCTGATAATTGGATGGTACTTCAAGGAGAGTTAGAACTGTTGAAATACTGGCGAAGAACGCTGGATCGACACAATGTCGAAGATGATGCCCCTTCGGTCTTTTTCTACTTCTTTCCGATCATCCCTTTTCTCTTGTCGCGACCCTGGGCTATTATTCGCGACTTCGAAAGTGAAATAGAACGAAACTCATCTTAAAAGAACTTTTAACAACGCCAGAGAAGCACGAATTCACGCACACTTGTTCGTCTAATCTTTAAGTAACACGTTCGTTTTTTGTTTTTTTTTTTTTTTTTATGGAAGCAAAAACAGACTACAATTTTTATCAATTATCTATTCTTCAGAAAAAATGCGAAAAAATTATATAAAAAATAGATAACAAAGTGTAATGTGCGAAATATAAGTGGCGTATAAATCAGATATAGAAATGTAAAATAAAACATAGAGTGCATCATACAGATAACAGATTTTTCACTTCTAGAATTTAATTTGTAAGATTTCACAATTTTTCAATATATTCACCAGAAAATGAAACGTTAAAATTTTCCAGTAAATACAAATCGGCAGTACTCGACAACAACAACATGAACATTGGCATATGTCAGTAACATGATATTTTTATTGTCAGGATTCAGACTTTACTGTTTGTGTGCGAGGCGTTGTGATGCTGCGTAACCGATGCAATAATGGAGGACTAGATATTGATTACTTTTCTGCGCATTGTTACGACATGACTGAATTGATGTATACATATATGTTCATATGGTATAAATTTGATTTTAGCGAATAAGCCGTATAAACATAGGCAACTTTCAACTTTCAACTTTTATTCCTATCTATTACGTATTTAATATTGAAATGTGCTATTGCGTTTCTTAACGCATTACAAATGAACAAAATTAAGATTCAATAAACTATTTATTTTATTTATTTTTTATATGGCTTTCAAAGTTTATAAAGTTTTTGTTTACATATACAGAATATCTCTATTTTTTAACATTAAAATTAAATTCATCTCTTATGAATTGTATCTTAATATAAATATTATGTTTTTGAAAATATAATTTTAATATTAAAATTCAATTTAATAGTATAAAATAAGTATTAGATTTTTAAAAATATGTTCTAATATTAAAATTAAATTCATCTTTTATATGGATCGTATATCTTAATATAAGTATTATATTTTTGAAAGTATAAAATATCTGGCAAGAGTATTGTAATCGTATGAATTGCGTGTGTCAAATTGAGTGAATGATGCGCGTTCTGTATTGACAATATATATTTGATATTTAAAGATTAAATATATACATCAAGAAATGATTGATTCAAAAAGAACGAGAAAAAGGTAAACTAAAATACAAAACGCGAACATATAGACATATAAAATAGAATATATGTAAATAATCTAAAAATAAAAGAACGCAATACGTTTTTTTAAATCCATGACTCGTAGCTATAAAGAACTTAAACTGCCCTAAAAAGCTTTTGTTTTACAAAAATGTAATTTGTTCACTACCAAAAAAGTACTTAACAGCATAACGGGTTTATGAAATTTTTCAAAACGCAAAATATTTCGGGCGTTGTGAATCCAATCAAAACTGCGCAGAAACGCCGTTCGCTTCGTAGTAAAAAGGAGCCGGGGCAATTTGCAAGCTTGCAAATTGCTGGTATTTATGGCAAGCGGCAGTTCTGACATCGCGTAAAATCACACGCGTATGTTCCGCGTTGTGAGGTCATAAAGCGAAATCCGCTCGGGCAAAATTTAACTATGTATTATGATCCACAATATTCTCATTTTGAATGCTAGATATATAATATGCATTCGTTAATGTTCAATAATCAGTAATAATAGATTACGAGCCAATTTTGTGAAATAATAGAATAATTATTATCACATTCTTCGAAAAGGATTGATCCTTATGAAAATTTTCTACAAGGAATATTTTAATGTATATTAAATAATACAACAGTACATTTTTATGATAATTAATTTTTTGTTGATATTTTTATACACAATATGCATTTATTATTGACTCGCAAAGTGATATCTTTGAAGGAAAAATCTTGAGGGCTGATTTGATCTTAATTTGCTTAAACCGCATTACTCTCTCTCTTTTTCTCTCTAGGATACATCTTGAATTATTCAAACCTAATTTATTTTACCGCGCGCCTTTACCTTCAAAGTTTTAAAGGAACAATCGTTTTCTTAAAACCAACACTTCCAGTTCTGACGAATTTCTTGCAAAACTTGACAACGATGATAAATGACAATAATGGTAATTGAAACTCTGAAAATAACAGATACATACTATGATTGTATTATAACTTATCATTAAGGTAGTAGAATTACAGATACTTATTGATATAGAGTTACAGGTACTTATGTAATTGTAAAACCTTAAAGAAAAGAGTAAAAATAGATAAATAATATTTAATAAAGCACACATGTGTGTCGTGCAAGTCGAAAAATATTAAGAAAAATCGTTTGAATAGCAACAAAGATTATAAAATTCTTCTCTATAATATGTTAGTATATGTATGCATGTAATAATCTGATTATATGTATATATATTTATGTTAACTAGTGTATTTTACAAAATATCCTTGTATTTGCAGTTATTACGCGTCAACCGCGTTTCCGCCGCGTTTGGCACCACCGTTGAAACGACCGCGTTTGATGCCACCGACACGAGCACAGCATCCGAAGCTGCAGAAACAACAATTGACGGCAAACACTGGCACAATACCCGACTTGAATCAATTGAAAGTGTACAGTAAGTGCTGCGTTTAAAACAGTAAGCACCTTTATTATCCGCGATGTACAATAGAGGTCAATAAAATCCTTCACTTCCGCGTTAAGTATTTTAAAGTCAGAGGCATCGTATTTAAATAATCGTGCATTATGATTATTAATTCTGAGAAGAATCGGCAGTTTTGACACTGAAAAATTTGACAACTATCTGATTTGAAAAAAAAAAAAAAAAATTAAATATAAAATTAAGAAAATGTAATACGATTTTTTGCTGCTCGGTGGCGAAAGAGTGCCATTAAAGAGTGCTCGTTGATTATAAATTAAAAGAGATATAATAACGATTGTTTGGAGTAGTTTATAATTTATCTTCTCGTAACGCGGAATCCCAAAGCCTCATCGAGCAATGAAGGTTGAGTTTAATTGAAGGTATGTCGTAGGCAATCCAGATATACTGATCTGCGGCAACTGCAGGGAGATGTTCACGGAACTCGGGGAGCTGTTGGAGCACAAGCGGAACTACTGCAAGCTGCGGTTCACATGTAAATGTCACACCTTCAACGGAGCCGCCCCAAGTATGTACTCGAAATAAACTTCGAGGCGCCTCCTTCCGGTACGTAAACGCGCTCCGAATCCCACCGGAAGAGATCCAGAATTAGTATAATTATCTATCGCTAATTTTAATCGGCCACGTTATTCTCATCTATCATAATTAATAATTCTTACAATGTAAAAGGTTACCGAATCGTTGTAATACGGATCAAAACTTATACTTTATTCGAATCAATATAGATTATTTATTTATTAAATCTCGATTTTTAATTGATTAATGTAATTAATGAATAATTTCTTTTTTACATCGAATTAATTCATATCGCGTATTCCTTATAATGTATTCATTACGCGAATTAAATGAGCATGTTGTGTTATATTTATATTATTATTATAAATCGTGCAAACAATTTCAAATGCCTTAATCATATTAAAATAATTGTATTACATGGTACAAATTCCCCTTTCCTTATGGCGGCTCGAATCACGTTATTGCACAAAGAATTAAAAAAAGACCAAATGAAACAAAATTAATTAAAAATTAACCATACCGAATGTAATTATCGAAATCCAATCCCGAAAGATTTTTCGCTGTCTTTTAAACAACAACTTAATTTGACAACATTAAAGTAGATAATAATCTTATATAACTCATTCCAGAATCTGTCTAAAAATCCATCGAGTAATCTAAAATTTATTCGTTGCGGATGACATGGTGAAGGAACTCACTTCTTGAATTTTGTCTCATTTTGATCTTGTTTTAGTTCACTGTGTGAGAGATATATCAACCGCGTTTTTAACTTATTTATTAATGTTTCACTTACACACAAACAGGAGACTCGACGACGGCGTTGCTCTGCGTCCTCTGCAAGTTATCTTTTCCAAGTGCTTGGGAATTGATGGTTCATGCCCAGGCAGCCCACATGATCAACATTTACGAGCTGGGCACAAGAGCACCGAGCCCGTCGCGGAGTCCTAGTCTTGACCAACCGAAGGAGTCGTCGCCTTCCCCCCAGGATTTCCAGGTTAGTTCTCTTATCTCTCTCTTACGTCCTATCTATGATTTATTATTTACGCCCACGTCATGCAGCAATATTTTACAAAATCGCGCAACCTGAACTGAAGAATTAATAGTTTCCGCCTCTCGGGCATTGCGAAGGGTGGAACGAACAACTAGAAAAGGAGTTCATCCTCAAAACAATCCGTAATAATGGAAAATTTTGTATCTGAATAAAAATGTGTGTTTATTTTATTTCTATTGTTTGTGATTATATTATTGTCGGTAATTATAAATGGCAACTTTGGCAATTGTATTTATTTATTAATATAATATTGCAATATACATCAATGGAAATATGTATTACAATATCAACTCTCACAAGGTTTCTTGTCCGCGGATTATATTTAATCTATTGGTCAGTAACTAATTAACGAATATTTGAAATTGTTTTTAAACTGCTGCGCGCGCATTTTTCGAGTGATTAAAATGTGAAATTAACGGAAATATTTGCGCTCTCGTAGATACATTATCCAGCACGATGCGATGGTCGATTTATTTAAATAAGTAACATTCTCTCACTTTTACTAATTAATTTGTATTTTATTACCAACCAATGATTATATTACTAGTATTAATACCGATGACTATTACTGTTATTGATTATGTAACTTTCACGAGTGAATTATATTCCAAAATTTGTTTTCTTTTTTTATATATGAGATATATTCGTTAGTTCTCTTATATATTTTGATGCAACGCATATATTTTGTAACGTGTCTCAAGTATAATCGATAGAGATTTTACTGATAGTATTTCAGAACTTTCAGTATATATATACTTTATTTTACATTCGTGAAAGAATGTTTAAATTTCAAGATATCTCGATATTATTATATATATATTCCCGCTATCTCTTTAATCATAATTTAATTTGCCTGGCCTAATACATAACGAGTAACGAATACAACTGTTTAACCTCAGCTACAGAAAGACTGATCTTGCTATCTGACTTATTTTTCACATCAACACCATCTTTCTCTTTTCATTTCTCTCTCACTCTCTGTCTCGTTTCCTCCTCTTTCTGCAAAACGACACGTAGTCTTCCGTCACATTTATCGGTGTGTTGTCACAAGATCCGAGGAGGCAACAAAGAGGCATCGCGATGCTTCGCGACGGTTGCGACACGAGATATATCCGTGGACGACGGCGCAGACAATCTTCCCGACGACGCGTGACGTGCACGATTTCCACGAAGTTGTACAGAAGCAAAGTAAGGGGGTGCGCTTGCACTCGGCAAAAGCAACCCCAGTGACCGACGCGAAACACGTCGATTCCATCGAGGCTAACTCTGGGGTTGACGTATCGACAGAGAAACATATGACGAAGTAATATTTTTCCGCGCCCCCTCGGGTGATGGCATTTTCCCGCCACTCGCTCAACATCTCCTCTTAACAGTTTTTCCCATCGACAGATAGCAAAATCTAAAATTGTACTTTTTGATGTTAAGTATCGCAGAAATTATTCGCTTCTGCGATTTATTGTACATCTTTATATATGTATATAATAATAGAACAGATGACTCTTTATCTAGCGATTTTTCTTTTTGATTCATTTTTTTATATACTCCAATGGTAGTATTATATTATCAGCAAATGTGCTGTATTAGAGTAAAAAGTATGCATTATGCAGAAAAATATATAGAGAATAAAATTATAACAAAACACTCTCATTAATTGACATTTTTAATTTAAATATATTTATTATATTAGTTATATCAAGTCTCTTTATCAAATATTATTTAAAATGTGCATAATAGAATAGTAAATTTAATCAAACTGATTTTGAGTGAAACACGAGAATATTTTATGAAGGATAAAATTCCTAGTAATAATTGTAATGTACGGCATGTACTAATTAACAAACTCTCCAGTAGCACATGACATTATTACAATTTTTTTGTCACATTCTTTTACAAGGATGAATGATCCTGACAAAGATACGTTTGTTAATCAGTTTGCCGTCTACGATAATCTCGCGTAACGGTATTGATCTAACGGAATCTATGACAGGAAATCAAGGCTACGGATTGCGAAGAACGCGCGGAGGAGGAGGAACTTGATGGACACGAGTTAATACCGTCCCCAGACAGTGGCAAGTCAACGGATAACGAAGCGGCTCTGTCGCCAATCAAGATTCGATCTGACGTAAACGGGTTGGATCACGAGGACTGCGACGAATTGATACATGTCGAGAATACCACGCAGGCATGCATCATGCATACTTTAAGCATTGTAAGTTATGAGTTTTATTTTATTTTATTTATTTTTATTTTGTATATGTGAACATTTCACGAGAATCGGCAAACATTTTTTCAAGTATGAATACTAGAAATCAAATAAAAAAAATAAAAAAAATTTTCGTAGAAATTAGTTGAAAACTGATTAAATGAGGCAAATTATTTGCTATTATCGAATTTTTTTTCTTAATAAGCTTCTAAAATTTTATGCTATTATTTCTATATAATATTGATTTATTTTATTATATTATAATATTAATAAATGCAAGGAGTGTGAGACATAGTTAAGACAATGAGAAATATATATAAGGGACAGATACTTTTTTTGCCTATTGGTGAAAAGATCCTCGGCATGACGCGCAATCGAAAATGACATGATAGCAGAAACATGGTCTTTAGGACCATGCGTCTTGTCATGAGAATCGTAAAGAACGCAAAGATCTAATGGATTCAGCATGGCGGCCCTAATGACAGGCGTCGCTCTCGTCACACAGCAGTTAAAAGCAGGCATCCACAATAGAAAATCGTTCTTCTCGGATGCATATTAACAAGAGTCGTAAATCGGTGTTGTTGGCGCCAACGACGACCAGAAACGGTGACAATAATGTCGTCACGATACTTCTTTTTTCCGCGCGATAAATCGTACTGTTCTATTTTTCATTAAGGATTGCTAATAAATAGTGACTGTCCAAGCCTCGAATTTTTCAATATGTAAACTTTGACATTTGTGAAATCTAGATACTAGAAAAATGTCGAGTTTGATACTCCTTTAATTCAGAAATATTAGGGCCTTTATTAATCTCTTTCTTATAATTTTCATGATAGAATACTAAGTAGTTATTAAAAATATTTTGCTTGTTGTTACAGGACTCTTCTTTGGAACTGAATTCTGAATTTATTTTTATTTTGTATATGTGAACATTTCACGAGAATCGGCAAACATTTTTTCAAGTATGAATACTAGAAATCAAATAAAAAAAAATGACTGTTTTTTCGTAGAAATTAGTTGAAAACTGATTAAATGAGGCAAATTATTTGCTATTATCGAATTTTTTTTCTTAATAAGCTTCTAAAATTTTATGCTATTATTTCTATATAATATTGATTTATTTTATTATATTATAATATTAATAAATGCAAGGAGTGTGAGACATAGTTAAGACAATGAGAAATATATATAAGGGACAGATACTTTTTTTGCCTATTGGTGAAAAGATCCTCGGCATGACGCGCAATCAAAAATGACATGATAGCAGAAACATGGTCTTTAGGACCATGCGTCTTGTCATGAGAATCGTAAAGAACGCAAAGATCTAATGGATTCAGCATGGCGGCCCTAATGACAGGCGTCGCTCTCGTCACACAGCAGTTAAAAGCAGGCATCCACAATAGAAAATCGTTCTTCTCGGATGCATATTAACAAGAGTCGTAAATCGGTGTTGTTGGCGCCAACGACGACCAGAAACGGTGACAATAATGTCGTCACGATACTTCTTTTTTCCGCGCGATAAATCGTACTGTTCTATTTTTCATTAAGGATTGCTAATAAATAGTGACTGTCCAAGCCTCGAATTTTTCAATATGTAAACTTTGACATTTGTGAAATCTAGATACTAGAAAATTGTCGAGTTTGATACTCCTTTAATTCAGAAATATTAGGGCCTTTACTAATCTCTTTCTTATAATTTTCATGATAGAGTACTAAGTAGTTATTAAAAATATTTTGCTTGTTGTTACAGGACTCTTCTTTGGAACTGAATTCTGATACGAACTCGAGAACAACTTCTGGAACGGTGATGGCCTTGACCAATGGTTCATTATCGGCGAAGGAATAAACGAGAAATAATAATAATTAAAAAGAAAAGATTCAAAGAAAATTCATCGGAACGGTCTTCCCCGGCCAACCAACGAGACATATCGATCTCCTTTAAGGATTACGCACCTGTTTGTATATAGCTTAATTGCCTAACAAATTATTCAGGATCGCTAGATCCCGTGGTCTATGCCGGCTGATCAAATATCGATCATCTTTCCAAAAAAGAAAAAAATATCAGTTCTATTCTGGACTTTTTTCATACATGTAATTTCGTTTCAAAATTTCATTGAGAACAAATTGAAAAGCTTAATGTTGTATGAATTCAGATTGGCTTAAATTACTTAGAGATTATTTATTATTTGTGTAGCAATGTTGATTGGTACTTGATTTAATTTTGTGGATCTTTAATTTTTTACGTCATTTAACGAATCTATATATTTTTTTTAAACTGTTGTATTGATCAAAATTACATTGTCTTTTTTAAAAATATGAGATTTTTCAAATATTTGATATTTGCATCTCTTAAAGTCTTAAAATCTCTTATTGAGTTTTGATACTTATAAGTGTTAAAATTCTTATTTTTAAATGCATTCGTTTATTGTAAAATTAAAAAATTTTTTAATTATATATTTTGAGATCTACAAGTTCTTAAATTCTGTTTATTTAGCTTTTAAACGTTTAAAATTAATCAATCGCAAGATCTTAAATCATATAACGCAATTGTAAATCGCAAAAATTGTTTCTTGTGAAATAATTTATATATTTAGAAAATTCTATATACACAATGTATAAGTTGATTATTATTCTCAATGATATGAAATCAAGTGCTTTTTGTCATTTCAATGGCAAAAGTGTTGAAAATAAAGGTATTTGTGGACAAAATATTAGCTAAACAAAATCACATCAATGGATTTAACTTATCAGAAATCTTAGTCATTATTTATTTACCAGTTGTTATCTTGAATGAAGACTAATTAATGTCTTCGATATAATTATATCATATCATTAATAACTAGTAAATAAATAATTTATTATTGGCAAATTTGTTTCTTAAGAAAACGAAGAAATTATATTAGACGTTATATTACTTTCTTTTATAGCACAGTCGCACATACGTGTGTGTATGTAGATTAAATAGAAAGATTGTCACTTTAATTATTCATGAAAGGACATATCTTTCGATAAACAATGGTGTCGATGGTGAACTAATAACTGAATTACGTTATATAAATTTAAATTGTAATTGTTATTAAAAAAAACAACTCCGTTTCTCCGTTGTTATCTATTCTAAAATTTTATTTTGAAATTTTTTTCACCATTTATACTGTACGCAATTTAAACAATTGTTGCTTATTTTAAGAAGGAAACATAGTACAGAGAAAGCGAGAGACTTTATTTTGGCGGCTATATTAATTTTATATTATCACAACTCTCTCTTATTATTATTATTATTATATGTTAAAGATGCTTAAAACATGTAGTTTAGATTATTATTTTAAATTTTGAGCACAATTCGTGCTTCTTTATATATATTTTACAGATTTATTAATTCCGATTTAATAAACATTGATAAATTTAAGCCTGTGTGTGACATTCTATAAATCAGATTCTACAAGTGTGTATTAATTTATAAATATCATTATATATATATTTGAATTTTTGATAGGGAAAAAGATCCGCGAACTTAGAAATTTATAAATATATAAATTCAATAGCTTTCATTATATATTACTTTTAGTCCGGATTTTATTTATAATCCTTACTTAATTCTTAGTTTAAAAACGGCTATGAGAATCAAAATAGTTATATGTATATGAATATGATATAAATTGTTATATTGTTTTAAAACAATATATAATAAACTAATGTCTTTAGAAGAGAAATTTTATTTTTATTTAATTTTTATTCTTTTCCAACCTTTGTTAGTGATTTGCCATCGACAGCCTCTGTAGTTTATGCATATCAGAGATCTAGTCATCTCATTTTTTTAAATATCCTGTACAATTCGTAAATGTAACGCAATTGTGAAAAAACAAACATTATCGACAGCCGGGAAAAAATCGGTCGAGCTTTTTCGAAGCCTGACGCGCTTCTCTTTCTGCGTTTTTTTCTCTGTGCAAAACGAACAACATAATATTTATTATGTCACGACTAGATGGTAGCGACGAGAGTTATTTGTTTATAGCCCCATATATAAACAATGTTTTATGGATTATTAATGTCTAAATAAAATATATTACGTCTTTTAAGTCGTTTTCTCTTTCCTTTTTTACCCATTTTGCATAATGCAACTTGATGCTCTACAATCTCATCCATGATAATTATATCTCCCAAAGTTACGTAATCTTTAAGGTATTTGAAATACATAAAAATGTTTCTTTCCTATTTCAATATTCTCCAGCGTTATAACATTTTATTAATAAAGATAACCGATAGAAATGAAAAGTTGCTTTTTAATAAATAACTGACAAACACGCACACAACTCCTAATTAGAACTACTTTTTAACGACATGCCAAAGGGAAAGGAATTTCGCAGTTCTCGGCACGTTCACTTCTTTGCGAGCACGTTCATCCCTTCATGCGGCACCTAATTACTGCGAGATATCGCGAGACATTACAACGCTTTCCGCGGTTATTCGTCTGCAACAAGAGGCTCGTTACACAAAGATTTCACCACCCTGTTAACCCCTCGACGTTACGTTTAATAAGTCCGTTTGTTCCTCCAATTAAAAGTTACAGTCTAGTAGCCGTATAATGATGTGTCGTATTGTGATCTTATTTGTTTTGCGAATAAGCTGTATGCGCGTAAAACGATGTTCTCCAGGGATGCTCTTCCAGTATAAATACGTTTGTACATATGTGTCACGAGATACTTGTTATTTCATCGTTACAGAATTACCGATCATATTTAATCAATTCACGATTAATTAACAATGCGTTTATTTTGTTGAAATTTTGTTTACAGTTTTTCTTTTATCAAGCTTTGTTATTACTCGAATTTGTTATATAAATGGAACGGATAATTGACGATGATAAAGAAATTTGATTTGATTCTTAGCATTTTGTAAAGTAAAGAAGACATTTTTTTTCTAAGGCAATGCATATTGCGATTGTGTTACGCTTTCATATCGGTGTACGTTTTCTGTAAAAGATCATTTTACTCAAGCTAATAACGCGCAAACATTATTCAGAAAAAATACGTAATCGATATTATGTACTATGGTTATTTTGAATTAAGAAATAAAATTCATGTCTCTTTGTATAATCTACATCTCGTGTCTTCTTTGTATCCAAGAATGTCTAGTCGCCGCATTTTACGTAACTACATTGAAGTGAAACCGCAGCTGTACATGCGACGAAGAAATTTCCTGACATATGTTTTAAACACGAAAATCCTGAATTTTGAATGCATTCTGCAAGTGACCAAGCTTTATCTATTTAATATTTTATGTTTTTTATACGTTTTTACTCCCGACTGCTGCCAACCGCAGGTTGGCAAAAAACGGAGGGAGTATGCGTTTCACCGAGCTTAGATCGGTTGACGTTTTGGTTGAGGACAATTATTATAGATCAATTTCATAAAATAAAAAAAAAACAGAAAATTAGAATTCTTGTTATAATTAAATAGAAAAAGACTTTTAACAAAATAATTTATAAAGGTCATTCTCTATGTGATATCGTTTCTATATCAATTTTTCTTGTGAATTAGCAAGCTTTTATACCTATCGAACTAGCAGAGTCATCTTTTGCAGGCGCGCATCTAGTGGATAATGTAGAATTCACACTGCGTTTAATATCAGATGTATGCACGTACATAGCTTTGTCAGAAATCTATTATGTCGATGGAAATGTTCTTTTTTTCTTATCAACCTTTGCCCCTTTTTTTAATTGATTTTTCCTTTCTTTTCCTTCTCTGCTCTCCGTAAGATAACAACACTTTGTAGAGAAAAAATATTTTTTTAATATATAAAATATATGCAATAGTAAGAGAAGAGAAAACAAAAAAAAAAAAAGAATACTATTTTATAGTTTGTGGCAAACTTAAAATCATAAAGAATCGTTTTTTATTGCGAATCAGTTTTGCAAAATTTTACAGCACAATTCATATATTAAAGAAAGTTTAATTAATATATATAGCTAACTAACAATAAATTGTAAATTAAAATGTGGAAGGAAGCAAATTCGAAGATAAATAAAGAATAAAGTTTGTTACTTATATGCTTTAGTCTCTAAAGCTTAATTTGGGAAAGTTATTTCGATTACTAACAATGTAGAAATTGATGTGTGGATATTTTTATCAAAGAAAATTCTTAATTAACAAAATTTGAATAATTTGATCAATTTAGCATGATTCTAAAATTTAATTTATCATCATCCTGTGTGCCTAGATATCAGCATTTCTACAAATTTTGGTAATAAATTTAGTAACATGACGCGTTTATTTCACTCACAGTTATTGTCTTTGTTGGTCGGTGCAACTGTTTAACTATCATTCGGTACAAGCCTTACAGTTAAAAACGATGAGCAATTGTGAACGGTAGTTAACTGTCTGGTAGAGGGGTAAACATGTTTCACCTGCGACAACTGAGCGGTATGCAGGTATGAAGCCGGGGTAAACCGGAATTCGTGAACTACTGTGCGGTAGTAATCAGAGTCACTCCGAACAGTGAACGACATTCGCCAGGCAGACAACAGGTAACTCTTACTGAAATATTTCTTATTAATTTTCTTTCGATAATTTTAATACATTTTTTTCTCGCTAAATGCAAATAATTATATCGTCGATATTTTGCAGTGCTTTTTTATTATCATATAACTTTTTCTATTTGTTTCAATGTAAAAGATAGCGTCATTGTTTATTCTATACATATTTGGAAAAACATGCAATCTTCTTCTTACGTAGTAAATTTTATAAATCTTTTTGTAAATTTTAAAAATTCTATACTGTATTTACTAATATATTACACACGCGCACATATACACACAAACACACATTCTATGCATTCATGCAATCGTGTTAGCATTACGATATAATTTTAATATAATATATTTATATACACATATATTTTTAGATTTTGGTATAGTAATACACTATATTAAACAAGAGAGACAAAGAAACAATTAAATTAATTTAAAGAAAAACAATTAAGCTAATTAAACTAATATATCGAAAATGATATATTAAAGAGCGACGAAATATTGTATTTAATCATGTACGAATGTAGATAAAATAATTATTATATTTGCGTTGGTAAAATAATTACAAATGAGAAAATTTGTATTTAATGTAAACAAGTATAGGTTTTGAATTTATAACAGAAATCTTTTATTATATTAAACCTTGTTTGCACACACTTCTCGCATGTGAACAGATTCGGATATGGTTACAATTCGATGGTTTGTAATTCGGTCGAATTATTGTTGCTTTAATTTAACTACATATATTAACATTAATTATCTAAACCATTAATTAATCAATTTATATAAATGGTTTTACAAGAAAGTATATAATCGCATGTAGAACTAAAATTTTTTATTATAAATTTGGATTTAATAATAACGCATTTTTTTTCATTTAAATATTTTTTACAATTTAGTAACTGATAGTATTTCAATGTTCTGACATTTAAGCAGTAATGCAATAATGTAATCTAAAAACATTCAATTATCGAAACTATAAACCGCAAAGTGAGTTAAAAACACAGGCAAATTACAATGATCCATCCGTTGTACAATTTTTATAATATAAACATTTTAATTTATATATTAATATCATAATATAATCTTTTTATATTTGCATAGCTCTTACGCTTTTCAAAATTGTATGCGTTGGTATGAATGTTGTGTATAGCGAAATACAGAATATCGAAAAAATTTCCAAATTTATTTGTTAGCAGATATTTAAAATCTCCATTTTATTTTCTATCTCGAACGCATCAGCCGTTTCGCGTTTTTAAAAACAGTGATATTGCCGCTACGCATCGCGTTCTCCATGTTCCAATTTTCGACGCGGTAAGCATTAACTTCCAGTTTCATCGCGACGCTGTTGCATGGCTAATTAAAAAGATTCTTAATTAAGAGCGAAACGGTCTCGTTGGTGTCTAACTGTAAACCGCGGATATAACTGTGCGACGCCTTGATAACGGAGCGTAAGATCGTTGTCCTGCTGCAGATTTGTTCCGCTACATCGCCGGAGATACCGACCTTTTGCTCGACGGTCGTTTGTTAGCGATGCTGCTCACAATAACCGAGAGCGTGCTTATAACTGTGGTAAAATGACTCAACGTAACCGGAAGCTTCCAGCGTTCGCCAATAAGATTCTGCCTCTACGAAGCAGTACTACTAGCTCTTTATTCATGATGATCTTGTATCGATCAGAGTTGCACGAAATATAGAAGATTTTTAATTAGTTATCAAGACCAAAACTAAGATTGTAAATGACATAAATAGTAATAATTATCTTAAATTATTATATATTATGAAACTTATATTATGTTAAATATTAATTTAAACAAAATTCTTCAGTATATAAAAATTGTTAATAAAATCGAGATAAGACAATACAAGACAAGATTTTTGCTACCAGGATTCATTCAAGATCAAAACAAGATTTAAGTTTCCGAAAAATTTTAATACCACAATACAATATTTTTACGAATATTGTCTTGTCTTGAGTCTTGTGCAACCCAAGATATCGATAACATAATCGTGTTATTTTTTTCTACTTTTGCATAAATGTTTTTGAGATTCTTGATCAGAAAGTCGAATTTCTCCTATTAAGCGTATTATAAGTACAAAGAATTTACGAAGAAAGGAAAAAGACAAATAAAAATTTGTTAAAAAAGCAAAAATTGTAAAGCACAATATAATATAAACGCAAAATATTAAAAAGATGATTATATCTAATTCTCTATACATGAACAATTTTATTACCATAATTTTGAATTGAAAGTCGCGTGAAACATTGAACTTTCGTCGATGGGAATCAGGCGTGATTTCGAGCTATGGTAAACATGGGCGAACAATCATCCGGATGGATCTCTATGCGAATCGACCGGAACTCGGGCATAATACCGCGGAAACGGTCCGGGAAATTATATTTGTCATGGAGAATCGGCCGTGTCTACATTGGAGGACGATTCGATGCGATCTCTGACCGCGTAGCGACCGGACGGAACGGTCATTCAATGTATATCGCCGGCTTTTTTAAAGCCACGCGTTTCGATGGAAAGTGCCGGTGATATTCACGGTTACGTTCAAAGTGGAAGCGAGCAATCAGACCGATACGCCGACTTCGCACGTAGAAGAGGAATTCGGGAAAATTTAATTTGATCGCTCTGACGGACCCACGAATCGGTCGAACTCTTTAATTAGTATTAATCATTATTATTAATTTTTTATTTTACTTATAATTTATATGTTTAGCATTTTTTTTACTAAATAAGTGAATACACGATAATTCTATATGCGATATAGTATTTCAAAATAAATAAAATATAATACTCTCCTCTTTTCTTTTTTTCTCAGACTAAGAATACTCATTAAAAATTTAGATAATATAAATAATTCAATCTTAGAGAACATTTTAACAATAAATAGAATCTATAAATATACACATAAAATATATGTATTAATAATGTTTGAATTTTTAGATTATGACGATGCGCTTATCGGCCATGTGTCCCTTAATCTTTCTACTGGTTGGAGTTAACGCGGCCGGCATTGGTGAGGCTTGGCAAATTACACCGTATCTGAAATCCGTCTATCCGGATCATTCCTTTTGGCCACGATTGGACTCTTCAGCATTCGAAGTCCGCACCGTGAGCGGAGTAGGTCGTGTAATTCCGTTCGACGAATCGCGAGATGCTCATATTGAGAACGAAAATCTCGAGCGTTTCCAGAAACTTTTGGAGGATTCATCTTATAGCGATGACTTTGTCCTCCCTCGTCAAGAGGATAACAAAAACACACATATCCAGAAAACATTGCGGAAAACACGTATGACGAAAATTTTACATGCAGATGAGGAAGACAATGACGATGACGAGCCATTTATAAAGGAGACCAGAGAAATTGCACGTATTCGTAGACAAGCGGAAAATGGGACGAGCATGGAAAAGATCTCGACGACCAAGAGCGTACGCGAGGCTCGCCTGAATTCACCTGAAACATGGTCGACTTCGGTGCAACCGATCTCGGTCGAATTTCGTCATCGTATCCCGTTGGATCAGGTGATCCGGCAACAGCAGGAGGAAGAAGAGGCCGCCGCTCTGTCCAACAGCTATCGCAGACATCAAGCACCACGAGCAGACTTTGTAACGGGTCAACATTTTCGACGAAACTACCCGGAGTACCGCGAGTCCAGGGATATGCCGGTCACCAAGAGCTACGACGACTACGACCAGATGTCCTGGTACAGGAACGCGATACGCGAGAGAGATTATGAGTATCCGTCGTATCGTCGAGGATATAGCTACCACTATCCCGATCGCTACCGGATGGAGAGAGATTATTACGCGCGTCTGCCGAATAATCAATATTACTACGATCGTTACGATCGTTACAGAGAGGACGATTTCGATCTCTACGGTAGAAATCGACCCACGCCAAAGCCCAGACGGATCATCTACTACGCTACCCTGCCGGAGGTCGTGAGAAAGCCGGTAGATCTGAGAAATTATCCACGATACGACAAGACATCGGTCACGCGAGACGATGCTTATAAACGCGTACCTGGTAACGTTGATCCCGGCAGGTATCGATATAGACAGTCATATGACGGGTATGATCCGTATGCAAAGAGATCGAGCTATTACGATCGTCCCTACGAATATCCCGAGAGCGACTCGCGGCGGGTCAAGGTGTCGACCAAGGAGAATTTGAGCAGCGAGCGGAAGGTGAGCAATCTCATTGCTATCAGGGACAATGGCGGCAAACTACCCTGGCCCGTGCAAATTGGCACGGAAGTCAGTATTAAGGACGACGAGAGGATTCCCGGCCGGAAGATCTTTGGCGAATCTAACGGCGGCTATGACAGGTTCCAGAACGCACAGTTACAGAAAGCCCCGGACGCCACGGGATCCAGCGAACTCCAAAGCGACAATTAACACACACACACACACACACACATGCGTTGAGGATATGATATGCTCTTATTTATATAAAATAAAAAACTTAATTCTAACTCGAGTTCCTTTAGTTTGAGGAACTACGTGATCATCGATGATTCTTCAAACATTACCAAATAATCACGATAAATAAAGAACGATTCTAAAGTATACACTATTGGAATGATATTAAATACATATAGTAAATATTAAAATATATAATAATTACAAGAAAAAAGATAATAATTATTGCATTTAAAAAATTTAAAAAATTCAATGAGTTACGATACTTAATTTTATCAAAGCACTTAACCCGTCAAATATTTAAAAAGCGATCTTTTAGAAAATAGAAAGATTATATAATTTAATAATGTCCAAAATACACGATTTATTTTTACAGATAGACATTCAATTTCGATATTTGACATTGATTGTCCAATATTATTATAGAATATAGTGGGACAGATTATCACTGTATAACTGTTCGATTCCATATAGGTATATAGATACAACATTATTTTGAGCAGTATAAGATAAGAAATTACTAAAACTTGTCCATTAAATAATTATTACAATGAATATTATCAAAAAATAAAGAATGCAAAATCAGATAATTGGCTATGGCACATATAATTAATTAATTTTAATATTACACTTATATATATATTGAAAGTGTCTAAGATTATTAATACAACTTTGACATAATCAAACATTCTATTTAATTAGATGATAATAACGAAAAGGGGGTTGGGTGCACAATTGATTTATTAGTTGCATACTTGTAATATATTTAAGTATTCCCAAATTATGTATGTGTAGTAATTAGTATACGGTTTTTGTACTTTCGTAAAACTTATGTTTAAATATTTTCAATCCAAGTTTTTGAAGTACAAGTCCCGGAAAAACGAATATTAACTATATTAATGTCATTTGCAATATTCTTTTATATATATGTCTTTTTTACACATATAATCTGATCAATAAATAAGTTTCGTACTCTTTCTCTCTCTCATAATAATTACATTACATCTGCGATAGTTAAATTGAAAAATTATTTAATATAGCTATCCACTATTAAAAAAGGCATCGATACACGCAAGTATTGTTGCTTCTTTTCCGCGATACTGATTGATTATCTCGATATTACGCTGTACATTATTTCATATCAATAAAAAACTGTCATGGCTGAGCCGCGCATTCGACAGTTCAAATATTAAGTATATGTGTATAATTTTAATTTATTCGATTTTGAAAAAACAGATAACTAGAGTTAATATCTAAATAATTTTATAAATATGTGTGTGTATGTGAAAAAATTAATTAACGCTGTTAATGATTAAAACTCCTTCGAATTCGAAAGAACAAGATTAAAACTATAGGAAAATATAATAATTATAATAAAATAGATTATCGCGTTTTGGAAATCACAATCTTTCGTATATTGTATAAAGATATATTCTAGTATTGGAAGAAGTAGATTTTGTTGGGGTAGCATTCAACAAGATATAAAAGAAACTTTTAATTTTGTTTAACCAATATTGCGAGATATCTCGATTTTTTTGTATGACATTTTGCGAAAAACTGACAGTATACCTATTATCGGGTGATCATATGAACGTGAAAGAATTAATTAATGCTGCTAATGACTAAAACTCTTTAAAAAATAAAAGATTACGGACAAAATTATAGGAAAATTATAGTAGGATAGACTTCTGTTCCTCAGAAATCAATTTTTTCTATATCATATCACGTATCAAGATATTTCTAAGTTCGGATATGAAAATATTTTGGAGCCCTTTTTTCTCTATTCTCTCGATTACTGTCTTTTTTGCTTTTATTTTATTCCAAAATATTAATA